TCTAACTGCAGGCACCTAGCCGTGTCCAGAGCACCCTGAGGACAGAGGTGATTCCCACGAGTTCAGTCAATTCAAGAGGACAGAGCCCGGGTTCCAGGCAGGTGGGCACTGGCCCTACGGGGCAGAGGGAGAAGAACAGGCAGGAGGGGCCCCTGCAGGGATTTCTCACTGGCTTGTTCTTGGATTTCACTGGGTTCCTGGAAGCAGGGCAAGGTCAGGCAGCCTGAAAGGGAGATGAGTGAGGCTGCGTCACCCTTGACATTGAGCCCATTGAGCCCGGGGGGTTGAGACTCTTCATTGCTGACGCAGAGAAACCCGGGAAGCCAAGGTCGGCCAGGTGGCTCGGGGGAGCGTGCTTTCTTCTTTCCTTTCCTTTTTCCTTCCTTCCTTCCTTCCTTCCTTCCTTCCTTCCCTCCTTCCTTCTTTCCTTCCTTCCCTCCCTTCCTTCCTTTCCTCCCTCCTTTCCTTATTTTTTTCATTTTTTCCTAATTGTGAAATACACATAATACAAAATGTACCATCTTAACCCTCTTTCAGTGGCATCAAGCACATTCACGTTGTTGGGAACCGTCACCACTCTCCATCTCCAGAACTTTCTCATCTTCCCAAACTGAAACTCCGTCCCCTTCCCCAGCCCCTGGCGCCCACCCACCATTCCACTTTCTGTCTCTACGACTGTGACCACTCTAGGGACCTTGAGTAGGTAGCATCACGCAGTGTTTACCCTTTTGTGACTGGCTTGTTTCGCTGCTTAATCACACTAGGACTACGTGACTATGACATCCTTGTAAAGAAGTCTAACGTCACAGGAGGCGGACCAGACCAGACCAGACCCGACCAGGACCCAGGGCTGCATAAATCCCAAGGTTATAACCACTTGCGACTTGGATAATTGATGTCCAGTCTTAACTGGGCTGGAGTCCTAGACTCTGACCCATCTTCCCCCCTGCTGACGTCTTTCTCGCAACCTTGGTTCTTCCAGCCACGCAAATGCCAGATAACGTACAGTCTGTTCCCAGCTGACGTGCAGCTGATGTGCCCACTGCTGGGAGACGGAAGCCTGGCTCTGCCGTGCCTGGGAGGCCCCACAGCTCGGGCCTTTGTAGACCAAGGGTAGACTCTTGGTCAATGGAAGCCTTACCTTGGTCTCTGGAAGCCCCATGGAGTCTCAGCCAAACTAGAAATAGCACCTGACCATTCCTCCTCCCTCCTGCCTCGGCCTCCCAAAGTGCTGGGATTACAGGCATGAGCCACTGCGCCGGGCCCCTTCTTACTCATTTCTTGAACCCTTACTACTGCTGTACTGTATTTAGTAGGTACTGGAGATACAAGCTGTGGTGTCTGCCCTCACCCAAGTGTGAGCACTTTGTGGAGAGTATCAGTGACCACTGAGCTGAGGCAGGTTCTTAACTGTACCCAGTGGAAGACATGAGGCCTCTGTGGTTCCTCACCCTTTCTCTGCTGACTGCTGGGTGAAAGGCCAGCCCACAGCTGGGTTGACTCACCTCTGCCGAAAGGCCAGGCTCGTTTGGGTGGAGACCTATTCTGCTCTGAGCCTCCTGGTGCATTAGAGAGGTGGAAACCAGGAGAAGGTGGACAGGCCTGCTGTCCATTAGAATAAGGAAGAAAAACTAGCCGGGTGCAGCAGCCCACGCCTGTAGTCCCAGCTACTCGGGAGGCTGAGGCAGGAGGATTGCTTGAGCCCAGGAGTTTGAGGCTGCAATGAGCTATGATGATGTCACTGCACTCTAGCCAGGACAACAGAGTGAGAGCCTGTCTCTTAAAAAAATAAATAAATAAATAAAAATGAATATGG